CCCCCCCCCCCCCCCCCTCCACAGAGCTTGCTCTTGTCACTTCTGCTCTGCACATCAGGGATCTCTCTCCCCAACCAAGTTGCGCAACCCACTCCTCCCCTCTCCCTCTGTCAGACATCCCGAGAGCCTGTGTTTGCAGCATTCATGGGGAGTCTCCCTGCTGGCTCTCCAGCCCAGTCACCCCCACCCAAGCAGACCTCAAAGAGAGAGAGTGATCACCCCAAAGAGGACCTTACCTGCCTGCTGCAGGCTGTGCCATATCTCAGATGGGTGACAAAGTGCTTATACTTCCTGTCCTTAACACAGTACTCCAACTGCGCCCCAATCATCTCTCTCGCAGAACTGATGATCTCATTCACAGGCCGCAGTCTGTACACCTGGTCCAAGTAGTTATTCACTCGATAGAGGCAGCTTCCCACTGCGTACCTCACATGCTCCTGTTTCACCACCGCCCTGATGTTCCCGCTGGAGTAGGTGCTGGAGGAGTCAGCCCTAGGGCACTCACCTAGAATCAGAGACACTGTCACCCAGAGCTGCAGGGGGAGGTGAGGCAGGGAGAGAGAAGGGGCAGGACAAGAAGGAAGGATGAAGGGAATCCACCAGTGAGCTTTTGGTGCTTGTCCTTCCGTGAATGTGATTGGAGGAGTCACAGACTTTTCTTCTTTAACTCAACAAGCTGTGAGTATTTTTCATGTCAATGAGTGTTGGGCTTATCTGTAGACGCCACTGCATTCCATTATATGAATGTACATCATCTATTTGACCAATGCCCTATCAGTGAGCATTTAGGTTGTCCACAAATTTAGCTGTTATACACAATGATAATAAATCGTATTTGTTATTTGTCTTGTGTACTTGTGCATTTCAGAAAGAGATCACATTTGTTTTAGTACCCCCTGTGTTTCAGACACTATGCTGGGAAACTTTTCACATATTACCTAATTTAATCTCCTTTTTAACTTTCAAGGTAAATATTATCATCTCCATTTTACAACCAATATTGGAGCCAGAGAGACATTTTCAGACTTTTCTGTGCTGTGGAAAGTGCTAGAACCTGAATGTGAAACTGCCTCTCTCAAGCTCCAAAGGGCAGGCTCCTTCCACGGCGCTGAGCTGAGCCTTAGGGAATCCCTCACGTGAGTGTCTTCTCTCCTAGGACCGGGCACCGCTCTGGGCACATGGCGAGGCCCACAGAAGAGCCATCAGCTCGTGGAATCCAAATTCCATCCTAGGGTGAGTCCAGGTTTAATTTTCCAAGAGGGAGAGTCACTAATGAGCTCTCTAATAAGCATCCTTATTGTATGTTTCTAATCTAAAGGCCGATGTTTGCACTTAGAGTCTATCTCCTTAATAGAAACTATCCACTCCCCGAAAGTTAGGTCAAAAAGGACCACATGTCCCCACTGTCATGCTGCCAACCTCCCTCAGGGTCATCTGGATTAAGTGGGCTTCATTTTCTGCAATTCAGATATTTTAACAACTCTTTCAAGGTAGATGATAGCATACAGAAAACTGATAAGGTGCAAACATATAATTCTGTCCGTGATGACACTGATTTTTGTCCAGTGAGAATGCAGAAACTTGATGGAGAAGTAAACATCAAAATTAATGGTACCATCACTCTGTAGGACAAATCCATCTACATCTGATTTGGCGGCTTACTCCAGCATTTTTTTCTTTCATTGACTATACATACATCTGTTTCCTGCATTCTCCCTTAAACTGGCTTGTCATTCTGCTGCTTCTCTTTCAAAGAGCTAAATAAATCATTCATATGTACTCACTATGCACTTGTATGAGAATGAATTTTAGATCTGGAAACCTGTGAGAGCTGCTTCTGTTAGGGAGTATGAAGTCAATACTCAAGACACGTTGTCTATGAAATCATATGAGTACAAAGACACAGCACTGAGAAACATGCTTCTTTCTTTCAGACTGTAGACGCTCAGAGACTTTGCTGCTTGAAGTCAGTTCAGAGTCTGCATTCCAGGGTAAACTGGACAGCTGGACAGACCTGAGTGCTGAAGCCCCCCGGCTTCAGTGGATGAGCCCGCAACCTCTTTCCCTGCTTCTGTCAGGACCTATGGGACGCCCAGTGATGACTCAACGGGACATGGATGTACATTCTGTTCAAGTGCTGCACAGGGAAAACCCAACTCAGGGTTCCCTTGCTAATCTCCTATTTCAATTGCTCATTAAGTTCAGAAATATTTTGAAAATTATATTTTCAACAGTCCTAACTTATAGGGTCCAGATGGAGCACTTCACCACCTCCCACATAGATCGCCCAATGCTCATCGCCAGTGTGGAAAATCTCCATCAGGTCTCCAGCCTCGAGATCTTCATAACCCTGGAAGAGAAAAGCCAGAAACGGTGTTGACAGGCTGTTAGGCAACAGCAGAGACCCTGGCTGGGGAGCTGCGGCTCAGCCTGAGGGCCCCGTTGCTAATTTTCATCACCCGGTAGGAGCCTGGGGTGGGGGAAGATCTCATAACCCCTGTGGGACCCTCAGGCTGCTGTCACTTTTAGAGATTCCCTCACTACCGACTCGCTGAAGCCTGGAAAAAGTGACCTTGTGAAGTGGAGATTTGTCCAGTGTGTGTATAGTATGCATGTGTATGTGTGTGCGTGTGTGTTGTGTGGTGTGCATGTGCATGTGTTCACATGTATACATGTGCATATTTTGCAAGTGTATATGTGTGTGTTGTGTGTATGTGTGTGTGTCCAGTAGGGTACCATCTATCTGTGTGTCGTGTACGTGTGTTTTGTTTGTGTATGTGTGCTATGTGTATATGTGCACATACAGAGCATACAGACACGTATATGCAGGTACATTGTGCATGTGCTGCTGAGTGTGTTGACATGACAGCCTGCATGTGGCAGTCCCAGGCACATCCCCAGCAAGATCGGGTAGGTGAGTCTTGAGCTTCTCTGTCTGTCACAGAGGGACCCCCAAGTCCTCATCATGCCTCATGCCCCTGCTGTGTATGGCCGCACCAGGCTCCTTCTCCTCCTCAGACTCTGTTCCCTCCAGTCTCAGGACACCTACTCTTGGAGATGCCCCTCTGCAAGACACGAACTGACAGCATCCTAACGGGACCTGAGCCTTTGAGGGGACAGTTGTAGGGCCCCCAGCTTCCAGCACTGAGGGGGCTGCTGCACTCACACAGTCGGCCTTTGCTGTCTCTTTTTCTTTAATAACTGCAACCCTCACACCTCCCCCGGGGAAGGAAGCATCACTCCATTGCTCAGGAAGAAAGCTGACTATGAGAGAGGTGAAGTTGATACAGCACATAACACATTCACCTGCTTACACTGCTTTTGCTTCCTTAAGATAGGTTGTTTTAATCAAGCCTTTCTCAACAACAGACCCAGCACTGCACTGTACCAGGCGGGAACCCAGGGCCCCAGGATGACCCTGGAACCAAGAATCTCCATAAATGTTGCCACCAGAGCAATTTATGAAGCCAGAACTCCACCAATAAGGAAAGTCTGGCTCCCAGTAGCCCAAGTAGCTTGAATACCATATAGGGACTGATTTGAGACTAGCCAATCAGCTTATAGGGTCCCAGATGCAGCTTAGGAGCCCCAAATCCTTAAATTTTACCCAGAACCTTGGACCGGAGAGGCAGATTTGAGACACTTGCCTCCTGTCTCCTTGCTGGTCAACTTCCCGATAAAGTTCTTTCTTTCTCAAAAGCTGGTGCCATCGTGTTGGCTTCCATGGGCATCAGGCAGCGAGCCCTTGCTCAGCAACGAAGGCACTTCCTGAGAACAGTCCGCTGGGAAGCGGCTGGCCTGAGTCTTCTCTGCCACTCCTCCCCCTGGTCCTGATTCGTCCCTGCCTTCCTCCCCTTCCACACCTCCCTCCTGCTCCTCAATGTCCTGGCCCAGGGCACCACAGCTTTGTGATTTGACAGCTCCTCAGTTGTTCCCTCTCTCTGTACCTGATTTCAGTGAATGACAGACCTCCTCCATCTCTCGTCCCAGGCTGTCCAACCTGAGGCCAGGGGTCAGCTGACCTTTGTCCTCTTTCTCGTGACAATACCAAATAACGAATACCGACTCTGGAAGTTTCTCCTGAATTCACTTCCTTGTCCAGCTCCCAACCACTTGCTTTGGGGCAGCCGCATCCCTGCCTCTGTGACCTCCACGGGGTCCTGACCAGTCCTCCTCCTCCTGTCCCTGCCACTCCACATCCAGTCTCCCCAAGACCCATTGTGGCCTCCTCAAAAGGCACATCTGGCCATGCGCTTCCTCTGGCCTTAGGGCACAGGGCACACCCCTTGGCAGCTCCCAGGCTCTCATGACCGGGCCTTCCTCACCCCTCCTTGCCCTCCCTGTGCTCTGCCCCCAGGCTGACTGAATCACTTCTTTTCCCTCACCACAGAGCTTGCTCTTGTCTCTGATGCTCTGCACATAGCTATTTCTGTCCGCAACCACCTTCCCCACATCCACTCTTCCTGTCTTCTCCTATCAGATGTCACTCTTCTGAGAAACAGCCCTGAAGGCCCCAGCCTGGCTCAGCTGCCACTCCCTGGGTCCCCAGGCCCCCTGGGACCCCCACCTCTCCCTGCGTGGGTCATGCGCCGCAATTCTCTCTGCCATTCTGTCGCCCGCCCCACCCCGGCTGTGCGTTCCATTTAGGCAAGATCTCGTATGCTCCTCTCCCTCCCTGCATCTCCAGGGTTTAGCAAAAGGCCTGGCTTGGGATGGGAGCAAAGGAAATATACACGGACCAGGGCTGGAGGATCAGCAGGGCCTGCCCATTCCCCCTCTCCCTCAGCCAGGGCAGGGCAGGCACAGAGACAATCTCCACTTTGGAATCAAGGGGATTTTTTCACTCTGAAACTGACTGTCTAAGGCAAGGCCCAGGCTCCGTCCATGGCAGCTGGTGGGAGATGAACTGTGAGCTTGGGCCCTGCCTGGATGAGGAGATGGTTCCCCAGGCAACAGAGCCCTGATTCATTTTGGCAGCGAGAAAGCCCTTCTCAGAATCAGGTGATGCACAGGGTGGACTGCCCTCTGGAATGTGCAGTGTGTCTTCCCAGAACTGCCTCATTTCCAATAATAGCCCGAGTCAGGTGATTCCTTTTCATGGCACACCGCTGAGCTCTGCCTGCTCCTCCCTGGAACTTGCGTCAAATCTGGAGATCAGGGCTGATGAGAGGGGAGGTTTCAGAGTCAGAACGCTGAAATTTGAATGCGCTTAATAAGGGAGGACTAATGCCATGGGGGAAAGAGGCGAGAGAAAGGACTGGAGCCGGGAAGGCCCCAAACTCCAGCCAGCAGCTGAGGCAGACAAGGAGGGGGTTCACTCACTTCCAAGTTCCGCGGTCCCTCCATGGCCATACTCCAGCTTCTTTCCCAGCTCAGCGAGCCACAGCTCCCAGATGCGCACAGCTCCTCCTACACGTGGATCCCAGCCCCACCCCCACCACATACACACACTGTGCCAGACACAGAGGAGCCTGACTCTGCTGGAAGACCGCACAGTCCTGCAGGAAAAGGGACTTTTAAACCACAAATACAGTTTTCTGTGAAAGCCATGTAAAGCCTTTCCAAGCTCTAGAGTTAACAGTGCCCAAGGCCAGGAACCCAGACCGAGCTCTTTGGAGCAGCAAAGTGCCCACGACCCGCCCTGCTATAGAGCCACTGATGGAAATGTCCCAGGGACTTACCTGAACCATGGTGTTCTGGCCTTCTGGGCTTCTGCTGCTCATGGATCAGCTTTTATACCAAAGTGGAGAGTTTCACTTTCACTTTCTTCTGACACTCTTTCAATTCTGCTCAGTCCTAACCACTTTTTAAAGAGAGACTAAATATTTGCTCAAAATGGAGAGGACCTAACTCAGAACACGGCATCATTGGTGCCTTAAGCCACGGGGAAGCAGTGAGAGCAGGAGGGGAGGCTGATAATTTGCTCCTGCTTCAGAGACCCCAGGTCTCTCCCAACAGAAGCCCTGGGCAAGTGTTCCTGCTGCACGAAGGGGTGGCCTTTAGGGTGCTGGTCATCGAGGTTGCACTGCTCGCTCAGTGAGCAAGTGACAGGGGCTGCCGGGGGTCTAACTCTGAGATGACTACCCCATGCAATACCCAACACACAGTGGGACCTCACGTTGGAGTGTTATTCAACAGGAATCATCTGAGTGCCCACTGTGTGCCAAGCACTGTTGCAGGCATGGAGGGATCCACCAGTCAACAAGACTGATAAGAATCAGTGCTGTTGTGGGCCACATCTTCTTCTTGGGGAGACCGACAAAATTTAATGAGATAGATATTATGTGAGATGGAAAAGACTGAGAAAAATGGGGCGGGGGAAGGGATGGCGGAATGGGGAGGTGTGATTTTAGATAGTGTGGTTGAGGACGGCCTCACTGAGCAGGTGATTTTTGAGTCATGAACTCAAGGAGGTGGGAGGGAGCCCTTCACATACCCACAGGGAGAGTGTCCCAGGCAGGGAAGCAGCCATTGCAGAGACCCTGAGCCTGCAGGTGTCTGCCGGTGTCTGGAGCCAGGAAGCAGGTCATAGGAGGTGACAGCTGAGAGGTAACAACAGCCCGATGTACATGGGGCTGCAGGCTGTTGTCCCGGTGTTGATGTTTACCCTGAATTAGATGAGAGCCAGTGGAAGGTTGGGGCTCAGCGGTGACATGCTCTGACTCATGCAGTTTTCATAGACTACGTCTGGCTCCCGTGTTGAGTATATTCTATGGAGTCGAGGGTGGAGGTGGAAGAGCAGTTTGCAGTCTTCAGGCAACAGAGCAAGAAGAGGTGATTCGATTCTTGATCTGTTTTGAAGGTAGAGTGTATTAGTTTGCTGGGGCTGCTGTAACAAATACTTCAGACTTAAACAAGAGAGTTTTATTTTCTCGTGATTCTGGAGGCTAGAAATCCAAGATCAAGGTGTCAGCAGGGTTGGGTTCTTCTGAGGCCTCTCTCCGTGGCTTGTAGATGGCTGCCTTCTCCCCGTGTCTTCATATGGTCGGTCCTCTGTGTGTGTCCTAATCTCTTCCTCTTACAAGGACACCAGTTGGATTAGGACCCATCCATGTGACTCCATTTTAACTTAATTACCTCTTAGAGACCCTATCTCCAAATGCAGTCATATTCCGTGATCCTGGGGGTTAGGACCTCAACATGTGAACTCGGGGGAGGGGGACAGACTGACCTATAACATTGACATTCTGGCATAGCAGTATAATCCCGGGTCGTCTTGTGCTTTCCCTGTCCCTACCCTGGAATCAGCATCTCTCCAAGGAGCCTGGTTCCTTTCAGTGGATAATGGTATGTAGAAAGCAAAATCAGATCATTTCAGGAACTTCTAACTTAGTTCTATATCTTGGAACCAAAAATATTCCGATGGGGACATTGAGCCTTTCTCTCTAAAACACTATAACACACCCCACTGACAGGATTTTCCTTTGTGGGTGAGGGCCCCCTCTGATCTGCACCTACTGCCCAACACATTCTGGGATTTGCAGCTACCTGATGAAGAGAGGGAGAGAGGCTCCTTCTGGCGGTGGTTGTGGGAGCCCAGCACTAAGGTCCCATTAATTTTTATCTCTCTGGGTGTCAGCTCCTAGGAATGCGTGTCCTGGGGCTGGGGAGGGATTCTGAAGAGGGAATCCTGAGTCACATGCCATGGACACAGTGGGTGCGAGGAACATGGTCGGGCTCTGAGGGTCAGTCTGAAAGGAGGGAAGGGGAAACAGCTAACTCCAAGTTCTCCTGGGCTGTGGCTGGTGCTCTGACACACTGAACGTGCCTGTCCACGAGGCACTTGTGTCCACCTGCACAGACTCAGAAAACAACTCGCGCACACACACGGTCAATTGAGCGCACTCACAATATACTTGTGCACACACACATACACCTGGACAACTCTCCCCTTCTACATCTCTCAGAGGGCATTTCCCTGGGCTCCAGTCCCTGGCACCCCCACAAAGGGGACCCCCCCATGAGCGACAGCAATACTGGGGCAGCCTACCTGTGATAGGAGCTTACCCCAGCTGGATTCACCCAGGAAACCAGAGCCTGGTTGGGGAAGTCGAATCTTAGTCTACACACCTTCCTCTCTGTTCGTCTCCTGGTTTCTCTATGGCAGACAGTCCCAAAGCCTGGGGATGTGATGGCAATTTTTACCCCGGCTGTGATCACTGGAGGATGGTCATTGGTCCACATGGCTTCTCCAGGTAGGAACATGTTTTTCTATTTAAACATCAGCCTTGAGTTTAGAAGTAGGAACCTTTGGTAAACTAAGGTCAGTATGATGGTCTAAGGAGCTGAATAGCTTGTCTTGGTGGAAATAAAATACTAAAGACTTTTATTCACTGTCCAATGGAACTTATTCTACATCAGTTGAGTTGTACTTTTTCCATAAATGCTCTCGTGTGTCTCCCACGTGCCAGGTGATAGGATGTAAGAGAAATCTGAGGAACAGAACCTGTTTCTAAATGATCCACACTGTGTCAGCCTGTCAACAGGGAGGGTTAGGCCTTCAGAGCTTGTGAGCCTGGTTCCAAATCCTGGCTGCACAACAGCTCAGCAGAGACCTTGAATACGCTGCTTAATCTCTTTGAGGCTCAAGAGATAGACTGATAAAATGGGGATGATAAAAGTTACCCTGTGAGGTGATGGAGGTGATTAAGTGAGATAATGTATAAAAAGGCACCCAGCATAAGTGCCTGGCAGAAAGGAAATACCGAGAAAGTGGTATTCTCTTTCCTCATCACACAAAGGTACAAAGTTATTCACAACATCATTTTAATAAGAAATAAAATCAGAAACAACCTAAATGTTCAAATTACGAACTGGTCAGATAAGCTCTAGTTCATCCAGGTGGGATCGACGAGGAGCTCGGCAACGCTCTCTGCAGGTGTCCGCTCACATCTGCGCAGGTGGACGTACACATCCACTCGGACACACAATGGACACAGTCACTCAAAACATGTGCTCGAGACATGTGCTCATCCAGGGACACAACAGGTCACACACCCAGATAACCCCTTCACTCCCTCTGTCCCCAAGGGGATCTTTGCCAGTCTCAGCACCGTCAGCCATTAGTGGGCAGTGACAGGGACAGTGGGGAAGGGATCCCATCTGTGAGGAGCACTTTCTCCTTCCTGTCACTGAGCCACAGATCCACCCCAGCCAGGGGAGCTGGCATTTCCAGAGACTTCTCAGATTTATCTTTATCCATTTTGTCACATTACGGACAGCGTACCAGAGCCACATTCCAGAGAGCTGATTGAAATTTTATGTTCTGACAAAGGGCACTGGGTCCTACATGTGGGAAATGAGAATGTGGTCTGTGTTCCTTATTCGTGTAAGGCTGAGCCAGCTCTCCATGTCACTGTCCACTCAAGAACACACACAATATTTCAAATAGTGGAATTTAACACAGGGAATGGCTACATAGGTGTTGGAAGCTGAGAGCAGGGACACCAAGGTAACATTTATGATGATGAAATATCCTTGGTTATCCCTATTAATGTTTTGGGTCTTGATTATTATTTTACATGATATTCAAGAAATTCAATGCAATAACGATGAACACACCCCACAGGCACGTGCATGTGAACACACAGCTGAGTGAATGACTACTGAGCAGACACACTCCCTGCACCCTCCTTCCTCTCCCACGTCTTGGGTGGTGGGGGTGGAGGCTGGAAGGAGGCTTCCCCAGGCTCCAGTTCCCAGCACCTGCACAAAGGGGACGATGTGAGAGTGACGCAGGGCCTGGCTTCCCTCTTGCGACAAGTGCTCCCATCTCCCTGGTTTCCCATGAGGGGATGAAGCTGCAGCATCGCCCCTTCCAAATGAGATGCCACTATCTCGGGTGGATGGGGGGTCAAATGGATGCACCCCTGGTTGTTCTATCACAGGCAGGCCAAACGCCATACCTGCAGACCTGGTGGTGAGTCTGGAGTGGCTATGAGCACCGGGCCATCTACATGGGAGACTAGAATGTGGCCCAGCTGGCCTCTGCAAGTAGGCAAGGATTTTCAGTTTAACTATCAGCGCATGAGTTTAGCATCATGAGCGTGTGTGCAGTGAACTGTAATATCATTGTTTCCTACTGAGCACCTTGGGTTCTGTGGCAATAAAAGACTCTGGACCTTTGTTCCCTATAGGATGGAATTTGTTGTACATCACTCGTGTTGCATGTTTTTGGTAAACCCTCTCATATGTCCAGAACACAACTTGTTTGCAAAAGCTCCACAAATGTCAGCCTGGCTCTATGGAGAGGGCAGGCCCTTCAGAGTTTGCGAGTTCTGGTTCCAAATCCTGGCTCCACAACATCTCAGCAGAGACCTGGCGGTGCTGCTCCGTCCCCCTGTGGCTCTGGAGATGCTTTCACGAAGGGGGAGGATAACACTTACCCCTTTGGGATGGGGAAGGGATGAAATGAGATAGCATGTCAAAGACCTGCATGGGGCCTGGCACAAGAGAGGTAGTTAAGAAAAGCTGTCTCCTTCTGAATAATCAAGTGAAAAGAGCAGGATTCATTGAATCATTGAATCTTACACACAGTGAGAGAGAAAGAGAACGTGTGGCAGAGGGTCACTGTGAAAGGTGAGCCTGGAGCTCCCTGTCCTGCTCCTTTCCCCCCTCTTTCTGCCCTGCACCCTGATACTGTCTGGAGCTGAGAGACTCTCAGTCTGTGATTCCCA